TTAAGTTGCTTTTAAACGCTATTTTCTTTTACACGCCTCCAAACATTTCAAAGAAAATTGCTATTTATTGCGAGGTTTTCTGTTCTTTACTATTCTTAAAATAATATTTCCGTTCTACTAATAGGAAACCAAATATTTAAGAAAATGTCAAAAAAATATACTTTGGGCGGCGATGGCAGATGGCATGAGTGTGTGGCAAGCCCTGGATGGCATGAGTGTGTGGCGAACCGAGAACAAAGGAATTAGAAAACTAATACGGAAAAGTCTGTACCATTCTGTAGCACCACTTGTTCTATTCTGATCGCCAAACAAATGTCGCGGAAATAGATGTCAGTGGCTTATCCAAAGGTTGGGAGACCACGAGTCAGCCTCTTTGGATATAGACGTAATTTACGATTTTTTCGATTTTTCTCTATGTATTACCCGTCCTTAGGTAATAACTATCATAACGCACATAACGTAGAAAAGTGATACAACACAAAATGGCGTACTTTTCAGCAGTACTCAAAACTAGAGCCTTCATGAAATTATCGTCAACTGCTGTGTTGTTGAATGTTTCCTACATAATAACCTTGTTCAACTAATCTTACTAATCCCATATTGTTGATTGAAAATTGTTTAGTACTATTGTACCGGTTACTCAAAATTGCTCAAATTTACTAGAAGAGTAATTTCCATGTAATAAAATCGTATTATCCTGAAGGACAGGTTGATACAAAAAATAATTAATAATAAATCGTATATGGTATGGAGAAGTAATAATTGAAGTAGCACATAAATCCAAATGCTAAGCTCCTATACATCTTAGTAAAATATCTTTCATTTTGTACATCCATTTCTGTAGGGACCGAAATTGAAATTTCTTCGAAGGGGGATGCGGTGGCGGACACTTTTGTTTAGAGCCGCTCGCAATTTTTCGTGTTTTTGGACTGTAATATCTCAGTTCCGCGACTAGATAAAATTTTGAAATTATTATATGTAAAAGTTCACTATATTGTTAAACTGCGTTATGAATTTCAACTTTGAAATTTGACTTAAAATATGTTTTAAAAAATCGTAAAATGCACGTGATAACTGCTTCATTGGCACCCGTTTTTTATTTGTTTATAGTTGAGTACAAAATTCATTATTTTGTTGTAGTATTAGTATATAAATGGTATAAAAATGGTATAAAAATATAGACTAGTTTATTTTGAATTTCTACGAAGGGGAGGGCAATGGCGGACAATTCTGTTTTCAACCGCTCGCAATTTTTCGTGTTTGTAGACTGTAATATCTCAGTTGCGGGACTAGATAAAATTTTTAAATTATTACATGTAAAAGTTCACTATGATGTTAATCGGCATTATTGATTTCAACTTTGAAATTTTATCCAAAATATGTTTTAAAAAATCGAAAAATATGCGTGAAAAGTGCTTTATTGGCACCCGGTTTTTAATTGTTTATAGTTGAGTACAACATTTTTAATTGTTGTAGAAAATTAGTACATAATTAGAAGATAATGTTAGGCTAGTTGATTTTGAATTTATGAGAAGTGGGGGGTGCTAACTTAACGTCAAGCTAGCACCCCCACTTTTGGATGTGGCTTTTTTATTGTTTATAGTTGAGTACAAAATTTTTAATTGTGGTAGCAAATTAGTACATAATTAGTACAAAATTATAGTCTAGTTAATTTCGAATTTGAACAAGTGTGGGTTGCAGCTTGACGGAGGTAGCCGACTGCCTGGTCTCGCAAGTTTGGCCTCTGCCGGGAGGCCCGGCCCAGGACTGGCCGCACGCTGCCGGGGTCGGCCGTATGCCTGCGAGGTATTCGCGGCGGCACCTCCCTCCACCCTCCGTCCGATTCGCACGGCGGAAAACCGCGCTGCCCGTCTCGCGGCGTACCCTCTACTCCCTCCTCCCTTTCCCAATAGATACCCTAGAAACACCGACGTGTTCGGAGTTCTGGGTGTAAAAAACCAATTCTTGCCGGAGCTCCAAGGCGGTCAGTGACGCTGCTTACAAGGGCTCTGGGTCAGAAGGCGCCGCACATCCTGCGTGGCACCGGCCGTGAGGCAGTGACGCGTATCGGTCCCACCTCCGGAAAGGTCCCAAGCGCGTCACCTTCTTCCGCGCGCTGCCTCACGACACGATTACTGCGCTGTGCGAGCGAACGGAGGCAGTCGAGCGCGAGAAAGAAAAGAGGGGGGAAGGGAAAAGGGAGGGAAGACTCGCCATCGGCCGAGGGACGCGCGGGAACGCGACGCCGCGCCCCATCTGCCACGCCTCCCAATGGGCCCGAGCGCCACGGACACTTTGCGCCAAGTCAGTGCCGTAGCGAACAGTGCAGTGAAGTGAAGTGCGAATGAATGGGAAGAATGAATGGTTATGCATATAATGAAACTAGTATTAATAATGTGTGAATGTAGAACAAAAAAATACCAACCTATATAATAACAATTTACGTAAGAATATATAATATAGTATAACAAAACTGTTCTTAGTGAAGTTAGTAATGCCAAAGTGCAAGTAAGTAACTTTAAGTAAGTAACTTTAGGTCTAGAATGTAAATTAGTTGTAAGAAAAAGCCCCGCCTCTAGCGGCTTAAGCCGCAAGGCAGCAGCAAAATGTATAAACATTTAAAGATAATAAATTCCCCTTCTTCACAGGGTTACTGTGGAGGGGACAAAAGGATTGGCCGTGCCGCCGCGTCGAGAGAGGGCCCTCAACGGGGGGTGACGCAATGGTTGAAAGGGGGTGGGGGGAGGTGTTTTCCAAAATTTCAGTTTACGACGCTCCTATTCATCCGATTTGCATGATTGACACGCCGTTGGATTCAGGAAACATGTCGCCATCGCGTTATAAGCCCACATTTGTAATTTTTTTTCTCGGAAGTTTGAGCACCAATTTCAAATTCGAGTTTTTGCCAGATTTTTGGTGAATTGTATGGCGTAAATTCTATTTTAAAAAGGCGTCAAATGTCTTTTACGGACCGAAAATCGGACTATTTGTTCAGACTTAATCGGTAAGGTAAATTCCCCTGACACAGTGCTGCGATCTATTGAATTTTCTTACAAGTATTTTTCGGTGCATTTAGCCTTAAGGTGCGTTAACACTGCGCGAGCGAGCGAGCAAGCGATTCTGAACGAGGGCTCGTTCGTTCGGCGGTTGATCGCAGGGCGGATGATACCACCGTTTACACTGAGCGAGCTCGCGCTCGGAACGTTTGTTCTGTCGATCATGTTCTCTCGCTGAGGCAGCCCTCCTAAGTGACGTTATTGTGCATCTGTAGTGCCATTGCAGTACGAACAAGTGATTGGGTTTACTTTTCACAGTAAACACACCTTAACGCTCAGATAAGCGACGAAATTTGGGACTAATTCTTTTTGCGTGCTTTAAAAAAATACACACAAAGCTTACCAATACCTCGAATTCTATTTCTGAAAACTGGTTCATGAATTTAAAAATGTAAAATTTATTACTTTATTGAATTTAATGGTTTTAAATGGTAGATTTTACAAGAACGGAAAGAACTACAGATTTCTAGGGCGTTCCATATTTCTGTTTAGGTCTGCGGAAAGGTCACAATTTCTTCAAAAAAACATGAATTAACATTTAACAAAACATGTTAATTTATATATAAAACTATTGTATTGAGCAGAAATGGCACAGCTTCATCAATATTATTAAAGTGGGTTTTGATAGAAGTGAATTGTGCATAGCGTCCGCAATATTGTGTAATATTGAAACAATTGTTTAAATAAATAAAATAAGTAAATTTGTGTATTTTGTGCCATGCTTTCTCCTTTCCTACCTTTAAACTTATCATTTAAAAGTTTCGTACTTTTTCTATGCAACTACAAACTGCACAATTCGTCTTTCTGCTCACAAGACTTGAAATTACCGCCATTCACCAACGTGTTCGCAGGTAGAGTTGAAAATGTTCGACACATCCCCAACCTCTCAGCTCTGAACGCATGTGCTCGCTCGGCGTCTGCATTCGTTTACACAGTACGAACATACCGAGCGAACGTTCGCTCGCTTCCACCTGCCAATCTCGTTCGATTGCTCCACTGTGATGTACTATCTTGTTCGCCTGACCCCTCTTGGGGTCTCTTCGAACGTTGGC